CTTCCTGTAACTCAGGCTGCAACTTACTGTAATAACACAAGGAGCAAGCCCTGGAGTGTTGCTCCGCCGTGAAATCAGCACAATCACTCAGCTTCTCTAAAGCCCATGTTTATATTCCATCTCTCCTAGCCTCCCAAATACAGGAGTGTATCTCGAATTTGTGACTAGTATTCTCTCCATTGGATTTTTGGGGAGAAACTGCATGTGCGGGAGTCACACTAGATAAAACAATGGCTTCAGAACTAACAGAAGCCCTCCCCAATTTTTATGTACAACATTCTGTCCTCCGACTCACACCATCCCCTTGATTTGTTTTTTGTTTTCTTTTTTTTCCTTTGCAGATCAAGGAGGATGTGTCAAAATCCCCAAAGGGGGGAACCAGCAGTTAGCGTAATGGCTATGTCACTGGATTCCCATGTAGTCGACCGCGGTTCATGTCCCGGACCCGGTGGCTTAAAACTCACTCCGGGTGCGTGTGCGTGCATGCCCAAGATCCCGAGAGGAGAATGGAGGAGAAGGGATTGCGGCGTGACCATCCTCCCTGGGGGGGGTGATTTCTCACTTTCTGTCTCTCTCTCTCTCTGTCTGGCGAGCGAACACGCCCTATAGCGAAAATCTCTCCAAAAAAGAAAAAAGAAAAAAGAAAAAAAAATCCCCAAAGGGGAAAACAAAATAAAAAACAAAAGTCAAAAAGCAACACTCTCAATCACAAAACCCAAAGTGGTTCCCTATGACCTTCTCCGAAGATCACTTCTCCATCACAAACACAAGCTCCTACCCCTTGCAAGTTCTGTGTCGTTTCCCCTATTCCAAATGCCACTGTTCCGGAAAATTCTGAGCATCACGTGCTCAGACATTAGTAATAATCTGTGTGAAATCTACCATGAAGCTGGTATTTACGGAGTACTTATTACTTGGAGATGTTGTGCCAAGTGACTTAAATTTATTAACTAGGTTACTTTTTGTTTTTGTTTTTTTTGTTATAAGGTGCATATGCTCGTCGCAGAGAGAGAGAGGAGAGAGAAAACTAAGAAATCCCACTCTGGGGGGATGGCCATGCTATAACTCCTTCTCCTCCACTCACTCTCCTCTCAGGATTTTGGGCACATATGCACACATGCCTGGTGTGACGTTCAACCGAGGTCGGCCATGTGGAAGTCCAGCACCTTAACTACTACGCCACCTGCTGGCCCCAACTAGGTTTTTTAATCTTGTACCTTCTCCATAATACACAACAGTAATCCCATTTTATAGACAAGAAATCTGCTTCAGAGAAGTTAAATAACTTGCTCTATGTCAGACATAGATCTGGATCTGACTCCAAAGCCCAAACTCTTAATAGTTAAACTGTAAAATATGGGCTGAATGATCTCTCTCAGTGCACAAAATTTTGTACTTATTCATTTGTTTAGACAGAATGTCACTATGTCATGATCCTCTTGTCTCAGCCTTCTCTGTAGCGGGGACCTCAGGTGCACACAGCCACGCCTGGCCCTGTCAGACAGGGGCTGGCCATGTAGCCTTGTGATCATCCTACCTCAGGTTGAGAGGTGAGAGCAAGATTGAGAGACACAGAAAATGAGAGATTCAGAAACAGGGAGAGAGACAGAGAGGGAGATGGGGACAAGGAGAAGGAAGGGGAAGCAGAGGGGAAAAAAATAGGAACCACAGAAAGAGAGCAGAAAGACTAAGACCACCGAAGTCCTAGCTACTGTTTTATCATTAGATCTACCTAGTATAGTCAAACAGGGATAGAATGAATATTCACCGAGTAAGGTTAAATTAATCAAAGCATGTTTGGGGCATCTGCAAGTGGAAAACCTAAAGACAGTAGTAATGGTGCTGAAACAGGAAGCAATAGTCCAGAAAGAACAAGAACATTCTAGAATCTACAGAAAAGTGCAATGGAACAAAACATGGGGGTGAGGGGTGGGGAGAATCCAGGCAGTCTTGCTGAGGGGAATAATCACATCAAAAAAGTGTTCACAGTTCTTCATTTATGCTTAAGAGAAATGCCTATAAAATACGGTCCTGGGGACCAGCTGGTGGTGTGGTGGTTGGGGCACTGGACTCCCACATGGCCAACAATGATGGCTCAAGTCCCACACCTGGCGGCTTGCTTTCTCACTTTCTCTCTCTCTCTTTGTCTGTCTCTGGTGAGTGCACATGCCCTGTAGCAAACTGAAAATAATAATGATAAATAAAATTAAATTTTTAAAAATGCTGTCCTTATTCTAGCGCACTAACCTCAATAAATCCTGGGAACCAGCAGTTAGTGTAATGGCTATGTCGCTGGACTCCCACATAGTCGACCGCGGTTTGCGTCACGACCCGGTGGTTTAAAACTCACACCGGGCGCGTGTGCGTGCGTGCCCAAGATCCTGAGAGGAGAATGGAGGAGAAGGGACTGCGGCGTGACCATCCCCCCTGGGGGGTGATTTCTCGCTTTCTGTCTCTGTTTCTCTCTGTCTAGCGAGCGCATACGCCCTATAGCAAAAACCTCTCAAAAAAAAAACAAAAGAAAGAAAGAAAAAGAAAAAAAATAAATCCTAATCGCTTTCGTGAAGCCCGAGTTAGTAACTCCACTCTGGGAATACATGTATGAATGTGAACGTATGTTTGTGTGTAGACACTGTTAGGCCCATCTATAGCCCATGTAACTACTATACCAACTGTTTCACCATTAAGGGGCAAACTTCTGAAAGCTTTCTGAGTTTAACTTAATCTGGTTATGCTACAGGGTCTCACAGAAGCTCTTAAAATACTTCTAAAATTCTGAATTCTTGTAAGAAGTGTTCTAGTGTATTTTCTTTCTTCAAATGACAATCTGAAGAATACCACCGTGTTAGTAATCCAGTCCTTTTGGGTTAATTCTATCAAGGTGTTTCTTGCTTTATTTAAATCCAAATGAATAGACATCGCCTCTGTAGCTATTCTGTAGAAGATAAACAAATATGTGGGTAAGCAAATGACAACGCACTCATCAAAACCAGGTATTTTACTAGGCTGCCTATCTAGATGCAAAGTTTCTTCCAGAGCTTGCTCCATTTCAGTAAAATTACCGTTTTCTCAACTTTAAAATAACATAATAATTGGGTGAATACAAGTAACATTGAAAATGTAGTAGATGACATGATTAAAGCTAAAATGCCCAAAAATATCAAGGTTGCAGTAGCTATACAGAAGATATTTACTCATATGTTATCTAAAATGGATAATCAATAAATATTACAATTTATTTTTCAACAACAACAAAAAAGCAACAGAAGTTTTTCCTGTTTCTGAAAAAAATCTGATCATTTCTTCCAGTTATATAAACTAAAAGTGGAGAACAAAAGTAGGGGGCTTCAGAGAAGTAAATTCTTAGTATTCCAATGAAATTAATAAAATGTGTAAATATATATTGACCCATGAATTACCCTTACACTGAACTAAAAGACTCACTCTCTAAACACATTCTTTGGAAAATAACACATACATATAATGACTAAATATGGAATTCTTTTAAAGAAATACAATGCTATATAAATATTTAGCAAAACAAGTACAAAGTCAGTCTGAACATTTAAAAATCCCAAACCCTTACTATCCAGAAATAAAGGAATGATTAAATTAAGGTATGGCCTCTCCATGAAATACCATGCAGCCATTAAAATGATGGTACAAAATGGAGGACCAGGAGATGGCGTAATGGTTACATCGCTGGACTCCCACGTAGTCACCTGTGGTTCAAGTCCCAGACCCAGTAGCTTGAAACTCACGCTGGATGCATGCCCAAAATCCCAAGAGGAGAATGGAGGAGAAGGGATTGCAGCGTGGCCATCCCCTTGGGGAGTGATTTCTTGCTTTCTGTCTCTGTGATGAGCACACATACCCTATAGCAAAAAAATTCTCCCCCCAAAAAATGATGGTACAGAAAAATACTGAATATGGAAACTGGGTAAAATGAAAGATAGACAAAGCGTAAAGCAATGTATAAACCAATAAAATCCCCTTTTAAATAAAAGACTACATGTGCACAGAAAAAAAAAAATACCTAAATGCTAGCTATCACTTGTAAGTGGTAGATTATGGGTGATTTTCGTTTTATTTTTGTTGTTCCATCTGCATTTTTAACATTTTCTACATCAAATACATATTTGCTTTTGTTAGAAAAAGCAATTTGGGTGCCAGCTAGTGGTGCAAAGGGAACGCAATGCTACACCCACATGGAAGGTCCTGGGTCTGCTTCCAGGATTTTGCTGATTCAGGCTGCTGGCGGCAGACTTGCACCACAGGGACCCGACAGGAGGTGATACACCTGCCCGCACACTCACTTGCTCTCTCAGAAGAAATAAGTAAGTCTAAAAAAGATTTTTTTTTAAAGTAAATTTTAAAGAGATGGAAATAAATAAGCCTATAAAATACTTTTTTCTTAAAGAATTATTTATTTAATTTTGTTTATTATTATTTTTTAAAATTTGACTAGAGAGAGACAAAGAGAGAGAGAGGAAAAGTGAGAAAGCAAACCACCAGGTCTGGGACTCAAACCATGGTTGACCATTTGGGAGTCTAGTGACTCAAGCACCACACCACAAACTAGTCCTCCACAAAGAGAGATAAAAGTATATCTAACTGCTTTACCCTCGAATCCTTTTTTATACGTTTTTATGGTATTCTTAATAGAATTTTAATTTATTGTGTGTATTACCTTTTCCCTAAAAAACTTCCGATCAGACAAGCAGGAGATGAAAATATCTCTCGGATATCCCTGCATTTGGAATAAGACAATGGTGAACACAAATCATTCAGTTTGCTTCTTTATAGCATGAGACATGATAAATAAAATATTTTATAACTGTCCTTCAAACTTCTCTATCCACTTGTATATTATCTTGGCATCTGAAGGTCTGCTTGTTTGCTAAATCTCCAAATTCCAGTGGCAAATACAGAAAATATAAAGACTTCTACCCAGAGAAGCCTCGGGGAGAGAAGAAAAGCTCCATTTAGTGTCAGTCAGTACTGTCTTGGACAAATAAAATACTCCCAATACCACCCAGCTTTACAAGCCCTATTTATTCCCATTCCACTGGAAAAAATATTAATTGCCATAAATTTAATTTGGGGGAGAGGTATGCTCAGTTCCATCTTTGAAATAATTGTACAATGGGACCAGCAGTTTGGCATAATGGCTATGTTGCTGGACCCCGTGTAGCTGGTGACGGCTCAAGTCCTGGACCCGGTGTCTTAAAGTCCACGCCGGGTGCATGTATGTGCGTGGCCAAGATCTCAAGAGGAGAATGGAGGAGAAGGAACTGCGGTGTGGCCATTCCCCCTGGGGGGTGATTTCTTGCTTCTGTCTCTCTGTCTCTCCCTCTCTTTCTGGTATGTGCACGTGCCCTGCAGCACACACACACACACAAAAAAAAACCCAAAACCAAACAAACAAAAAAAACTTTCCAAAAAAAAAAAAAATGTACAAATAGTTCTCGATCATTTATGTTTTGCAAATTACTGGGTCGTTGGGAAAGCCATGACACATTTTTGCACAGAGAAATACGTCATAGCTTTCCTGATGACCTAATCTAACTATTCTGTGTAACTACTTTTAAGAATTAGAAAAACATCCCTGAAATATCTCTGAAAGAAGGTATTTGTTAGAATGAGGATGCTCTTTCTGGAAGGAAGTGCTATGGTTTAGAGTAGAATGGCCCGAACTTCAACTACGCATAGGAAGATCACAAACAAGTGGTTCCTGAGTCACATGACATTGGAAAATGCTGCAGACACGTGGGGGTCTTCAAAATGTTCATGGAAAATTAGTATTAAAAAGACACTATTTATGGATTTAAAAAAAAATCTGTGCCAAAATCAACTTGTACTTTAATCCCATTTTCCTATGAACTTTCTGAACTTCCCATGTATCTCCTGCTCAGAAGGTCACCATGTGCATAACTGCAGTAACGGCCCAGAGACCTACAACAAAGGATAGTCCTGCAGCCTGCATGGGAGTAGTGCTGGCCACCTGCATGTGTCAACTCAGCTAGGCCACAGCACCCGGATATCTGACCAAGCGTTATTCTAGATGGTTTTTTGTGAAGGGATTTTTGAGATGAGATTAACATTTAAAGCATTAGACTCTGAGTAATCTGATTGGTTAAAGGTCTTAAGAGAAAAGACAAGTCAGCCCAGGAAGAGAAATCCTGCTTTCAGGTTGCCTACCATCTCAGATGGCAACATCAACTCTTGCCTGTGTCTCCAGGGATGGCCTGCCCTATAGATTTTGGACTTGCCAGTCCTTATAATCACAGGAGTCAATTTCTTATAATAAATTTTCTTCCTCTATCTATAGAGAGGCACATATGTGTGTGCGCATGTATGTACATGTGCCGACTAGTTGTTTCTCTGGAAAACCCTGACTAGTACGCCAGTGGGCCCCGAGTCTCACGTCTCCAGAGTGCAGAACTGGTTCGGGAAATGCTGCTCTGGAGAGATGCAGGTGCCGATGGGCAGACACATGGGGTGTACCTCTTTGTATTCTGCCACTGCTTGGTCCCCACATCAGCAATCCATCTCTTTACAGTTGCTTCATTCAATGTGGGAATTCTCCTCCTCAAATTAACATAAGAATTCTGTAAACAAACAAAAAAGTAAAATATGATCACCTAGACACATCAGAAATAGGTATCCAACTTTTAGGTAGCTTCCAAGAACAGAGGGTAAACTGATTATTTTTTTTCTTTTCTTTTCTTTTCCTTTTTCCTGTTGCTATCAGGCATGTGTGTGCACCAGAGATAGACAGAGAGGGAGACACAATCCCTTCTCCCATTCTCCTCTTGAGATTCTGAGCACACATGCACATGTCCCTGGTGTGATTTCAAGCCATCAGGTCCAGGACACAAACCGCAAAGCTAGCCAGGTGGAATCCAGTACTTGAACTTCCACACCACCTGCGAGCTCCAAAACTAGTTTTTAAATATGAATAAAACTGCTCCAGGACCATCATAAACTGAGGCTCTACCAAGGAATGTAATCGTGTGTCCAGTTGCCACTTTCTTGTCCAAGAGGGGGTCTTAGACTCGTGGTAAATTTCTCTGAGCACCCCAACACTCAGCACTTGATACAATATAATCAGATTAAACTGAACATCAGATAGCCTTGAGGGAAAGACAGAAAGGGACTGAATGTAGAGGTGGGTGGAACCCAATTTCCCTTAGAGAGAGAAGATGGCAAAGTTCTGGACCAACTATTCTTACATCTGTGAACCTTGGGTCTTTTTTAGTATGAGCTTGCAAAGTCATTTTTGGAATCTGTCACTAGGACGCTGACCAAACACCCCTGGAGTTCCCCAAGAGGTAGGTAGAGTCTAAGGAAATCACAATGATTCAACGTTTAGCAGGAACAAATTTGCTGGGTTTTGTTGGTAAATATTTATATAGACAATAAAGAATCAATTATCCCAAAAAGTTAGCCTTAAAGTAACCTGATGACTTTGGAATTCAAGAAACTTGGATTCTAGAATCCTTCATTTTGCTTAAAATACCAAGTTCTAAAATGTTTATGGATCTGTTTTTACCTCTTTTCCTATCCAGAACAGAATGCTTTGGTTCCCTCCAGCAATCATTATTAACTCCTTTCCTGAGGTATGGCTTTCTGAAAGGGATGCACAAAAAGCAGTACAGAAAGTCAGTTGGCACGAACGCGCACGCGCAATTCAGATGATTTCAGATTCTTTTTCTTTTTTTTAGGTTTTTGCCCTAACACACAGGATCGTGGGAGAGAGACAGTGAGAGGGAAAGTTAGAGATCATCCCTCCAGGGGGGGATGGCCATGCCAAAATTCTTTCTCATCCATTCTCTTTCCAGGATTTTGGGCACATACAAACGCACACCCAGCGTGATTTTCAGACCACCACATCAGGGGCCCGGACCACGGTCCACCATGTGGGAGTCCTGTACCTTAACCACCACACCACCTGCTGGCCCCAATTTCAGATTCTTAAACATAAGTCATTTTATCTTTTTGATAGTCAAAGACTCAGTAAGTTTACCACCAATTAAGAAGCAGAAACAGAGACCAGTAGATGGTGTAATGGTTATGTTGCTGGACACCCACAGTTGACTGCGATTCAAGTCCCGAAGCTAGTGGCTTAAACTCATCCCAGGTGCATGTACGTGCATGCCCAAAATCCCAAGAGGAAAATGGAGGAGAAGGGCTACAGCATGGCCATCCACCCCGGGGAGTGGGGGGTGATTTCTTGCTTTTCGTCTGTCTCTCCAGCAAGCGCACACGCCTATAGTGAAAAATCTCTCTCTTAAAAAAAAGGCAGAAATACATGGGCCAGCGAGTGGTGTGGTGGTGAAAGCACCGAACTCCCACATGGAGTCCTGACCACGATCCGAGTCCCAGACCCAGCAGCTTAAAACTCACACCTGACGCGTGCTTACATGCCCAAAACCCCAGGAGGAGAATGGAGAAGGGAATGCACTGTGGTCATCCCCGCTGGGGGTGATTCCTCACTTTCCTTCTCACTGTCTCTCTATCTCTCCGGCAAGCACACGCACCCTATGGCAAAAACCTAAAATTTTTAAAAAAGGCAGCAGAAATATATACACTTTTGGGTAAAGTCTAGTTGGCAAACATAAGTGATTCATAAGGCTAACACACAGCATCAGTTTAATGTACATAATTCACATAAATGCTTATATATGTAAAACAAAAATGTTTTATGGGATGACCATTGCCTAGTTTGTGTAATTCAGCTCTTATTACTAAAAACCATGTTCTCCAAATTTAATCAATGACTGTACACTGTGAAGAACATGAACAATACTTCAGGCCTATGTAACTGACTATAAAGAACCAAGGGTGGGACTAGCAATTAGCGTAATGGCTATGTCACTGGACTCCTATGTAGTTGACCGTGGTTTGAGGCCTGGACCTGGTAGCTTAAACTCACGCTGGGCGCGTGTGCGTGAGTACCCAGGATCCCGAGAGAAGAATGGAGGAAAAGGGATTGTGGCGTGGTCATCCCCCATGGGGGGGGTGACTTCTCACTTTCTGTCTCTCTCTTTCTGGTGAGCACACGTGCCCTATAGCAAAAACCTCTCCAAAAAAAAGAACCAAGGATAATGTAAGAACCGCTTGAGGAAATAACTCTCCTGATCAATTCCCCAGAAGAAATAAGTGAATTTTATTACTTCAGGCCACCACTAAGTTTTCAGAAGCAAGTAACAAAAGTGCTTCCGGGTTCTTCTGCAGTGGAGGGCTTCGGCGCTCAGGCTCTGAGGTTTCCTGGGGCATATGGCCTGAGTAAGTCTCCAAGACTCTATACAGTCCTGTGAAATGGGAAGACCAGAATATATCTCCCAGAGCGCTGGGCCCTGCCTTCGTGGTTAAGGCAACTAGATCCTACATGGCTGACCTTGTAGCTTGAGAAACATGCTGGGCACACGTGTGTATATACCCAAAACCTCAAAAAGAGGGAGAAACAGGAGATAACGGTTTTCAGTGACCATTCCCCATGGCGGAGGATGCTCTACAGATTCACTCTTTCTCTCTGGTGAGCACATGGCACCCTCTGGCAAATTAAAAAAAATAAAATAAAATAAAGAATACATCTCCCAGGGGCTCAGGTGGTGGCACAGTGGTAACACAATTGGATTCACACGGAGAAGATCCTGGTTCACATCAAGACCACCCTGAGCACCTGGTCACGTGTACGCCCATGATCCAGGCTGGCTGGGAGTGAACCGTGGCGTGAAGACCCTGTTGGAGGTGCCTGTCTCTCACATTCTCTTTGATCATGTGAGACATAAATAAATTTTTAAAATCTACCTCCCAGAACTGTAACAGGGACTGGTGGGATTATCCAGGTAGTTGCTGAGCACTGTGACAACCCCTGATGTGTGTCAGCTGCTCATCAACTACGTGATCACGGGTCTGCTTAACTAGTAGGAAGACCAACAGCCAAGGAATGAGTAAGTCCCCTGCAAACTGGAATCAGAGTTGCATATGCTTCCGGATCTATAAGCTTTATTTTGTTGTCACTTAAATTCACATTAATCCTAATCTGAAGGAGTAATAGGAAAATACGGTTATTCTGACTTAACGAATTAGTTTGAGTCTTTTAAACTTTACAAATAAATAAACCAATGTTTACAGAAATTCCCTTCATATTCACACACGGCTTTCCTTGACACACTGTACACCTAGAAAATCACTTTAAAAAAAAAAAAAAGGAGTTATGCTAAATCCTGTGCTTCTATAGAGTTTACCAAATTTGAGTTCTTCATTTGGCGATAACTTCATGGGACATGGTACCGGCTGATTATGGGTTCCACAGTTTCCTAGTTGTCCATTTTTTCCGGAACCAAAGGCAAAGACCTTTCCCAACTCGGAAACATAAGCAAGGGTGTGCCACCTAGTCAATAAAAGCACATGTGATAATCCTCAGCCATGCAGGACGATGAGAGTGTTTAGCAACACAGTAAACAGCCGCAATTAGGTTACCTGCTAAGTATGAAACTAGTTAACCAACTCAGGATGAAAACCATCTGGAAACCAAGAGATCAGTGTGCGGCTGAGGCGGCACTGGAAGCCCTATGTCCACTCGAGACCCGGATGTCACTCCCTGGCAAATGGTGCTCCCTTCGTTGGGAACAAGGAGCTTCACTTGCTTCCTACTCCTTTTTCAAGCCTTAGCTTGAGTCACCACCTCTTGGGAGTCATTCCTGAGTCCCTGCTCTCCCCACCCTAGAAGACTAAATTAGTGAGCTTCTCTAACTTCCACCCTACTTCCCAAAGACCTTTATCACACTATTTTTTTTTTACTGCTTTGCTTGGGTGTACTAAGGAATCTGGCCTTGCCCAAAAAGTGACCCGGCCTTTGTCCTAGTTCCTGGGAGGCAGCCTCTAAGCCTGTAAGACTATCCCAAGTGACAGAGACGTATCTTATCAGTCATGGTGGGGGCTTGGACCATATCTGACAGGTGTTTCACAGAGAGCATCTCTGGCCTGTGATCTTAGCCAGACCTACTGGAAAAAGGGACTAGTGACAGTTCAACCTCATGGGCAATGACTCAATCAATCATGCCTAAGCAATGAAACCCCAATAAAAACTCTGGACTCAGGAGAGTCTCCCTGGCTGACCATATTCTGTACTGCCACACACATTTCAGGCTGGGAAAAGGTAATGCCATCTAACGTCTCTGAGCAGAGATGACAACTGGAAACTCGGCTATTTGGACTCATCCTAGATTCTAGCCTATGTCTTTTCTTTTGACCAGTACATATTTCTACCCATTTTTTGCAATGAAATGCGTAATACTTTCAGTAAAGTCTGTATATGTCTCCAGTGAGTTCTCCTATGTTCCTAGGGGTACTGCTCTGGTTTGCACTAAGATGTGGCTATTGGGCTCCTTCTCTTACGATACGCACTCCTCCGAGGAGTGTGTGCTTGAAGAATCGACAGCCCCAATAATGTTTCTTTGGTTAAGAGATAGTAAATGGTATATTGACTTCAAAGTTAACAATACTTTAGTTAAGAGAATCATAGTCCAATAATCTGGTCTACTTTTATAATATTATCCATTTACGTCATTTTACTCCAAGATCATAAGAAAATATATGTTTAAAGTTTTTTTTTTTATAGTAACAGTTTGAGTAAATAGCCCAGTACCCCCAATAAACCAACATACTAACCCAATAAACCCAATATCCAGGTAGTCAGAATAGGCTTATGTTTAGTGAGGAAAAAATTGTCTGTTTGAAAAATAAACTGTATCTCAGTGAAAATATTTATTAAAATCACCAAATCCCAACACACTTTGGTAAGAAGTAAACTGATTAATCTGATAATCAAAGAAAATAATTAAGGGGACCAGCAGTTAGCATAATGGCTATGTCACTGGACTCCTACGTAGTCGACGGCGGCTCGTGTCCTGGACCCGGTGGCTTAAAACTCACGCTGGGAGCATGTGCATGCATGCCCAAGATCCCGAGAGGAGAATGGAGGAGAAGGGATTGCGGCGTGACCATCCCCCTGGGGGGTGATTTCTCACTTTCTGTCTCTCTCCGTCTGTTGGGCGAGTGCATGAGCCCTATAGCAAAAACCTCTCAAAAAAAATAAGTAAGTAAACCAAGGAAGCTGAGTAAAAATTTTTTGCCCTTATTTTTTGGGAAAAAAAAAAGAGCTGTGAAAATCAAACTTCTCAGGAACATTATGCTCCAACCACCACTGACTCTTTTTTTCTTTCTTTCTTTTTTTGGAGAGGTTTTTGCTATAGGGTGCATGCGCTTGGCAGAAAGCCAGAGAGACAGAGAGACAGAAAGCGAGAAATCACCCCCCAGGGGGGATGGCCACACCACAATCCCTTCTCCTCCATTCTTCTCTCGGGATTTTGGGCATGCACGCATACGCGCCCAGCGTGAGTTTAAGTCACCAGGTCCAGGACTCGAAACATGGTCAACTACATGGGAATCCAGTGACATAGCCATTATGCTACTTGCTGGTCCCCTGACTCTTAAACTTCACTGTGATTGGAGTGGGCTACTCTCAAGGAAGGATGGTAATTAAAAAGTATGTTGATCTGAGGAGCTGTGAAAGAGGTGATTACATTAGTGAATTTTTTTGTGTGTGATCGCTGTTTATTCTTCTCAAATAAATTCCAAAAAAATCAATGAAAATGGTAAGTATACTAAAAAATTGATTGTCTCACAATGTAAATTAAGCATCCTCACCCATTTGAAAATGTTTGATGCATATACCGAGAGAAACTGAGAAATTCTATGAAATTACTTAGTTTACTGCACTGCTTTTTATCAATTTCACTAATACTCTACAACTTACCTTCCACATGCTATCTGGGTCACTCTATTTCCAAGGAGCTCAGTCACCAAGCAGGGTCTGAGCTCATCCCGTGTGGAACTGTGACCGAGCTGGCCATATTTTCCAGCTCCGAAAGTAAAGACCAGCCCATCCTAAGGAAAAGAACTTTGTGTTAGACGCTAGAGAAGTACAACCCAGTTCACAAGAATGTCTGTCACTTCCCAATCACCAAGGGGACAGTCCTGTGTATGAGATGACCTTTCTTCCCTGGGAAACACTAACTTCCCAAACAAAGCATTCTTCACAAGTGCAGGGCAGGTTCTGAGTCCCATCTGGCAACTGCAGTTCGAATCCTTGGCTGAGTTTTCCTAACACACGCCAGGCCTGTGCTCAAGTGCCCATGATCTGATGGGCTGGAGGACTGCAGGAAAGGAACTGTGGGGTGACCAGACCCTGTGCAAGGTGTATGCCCCATGTGTGCCCACAGGAATAAAGAAAAAAAAATTAAAAGCAAAACAAAGCAGAGTACAGTTAAGAGGCCAGATGGATGCGCAGCAGTAAGACGTGACAATGCACCCCCACGGAAGGGGGCCGGTTTGCGGTCGGCAACCTCCCGAGTGCTCCAGGCATGCGAGTGTCCATCACTGGGGCTGGCTAAAGATGGGCAGAGAATAATGGCATTGAGACCCCGTCAGAGTGCTGGATCTCTGTCTCTTTCTCTTTCGCTCATAAAAGAGAAAAACTTAAAAAAAAAAAAAAAAAGTATAGTCAAAAAGAGACAAGGTGCACCCACCTGTGTGAGCAGGGCGGTGTGAGAGCCACCACAAGCGAGGAAGTCAACCTTCTGACTGTCCAGCGCTCTCAAGAGGGAAGGAGAGTCTTTACCTAAGCAAGGGAAAGAAAAGCTGCTGTGACGACCAAGAAATGCTGCGTCCCATGCTGGTGACACCTGGGCTGCCTCCTCTCAGCCGGACATTCCCAGCACACTCTGACAAGGAAGGCTCCAGGCCCAGGTTCAAAGCCTAAATGTGGGATGGGAGCGGTGACCCAAGGGCCACGCCTGGGGGCACCCGCCTGTGACAGGGCCCAGCCCAGGGCCCATTTCTTTCCACCCTGACTCTACTTGCAGCAATCTGCTATTTCCAGTTCCCGCCTATTGTTACTTTCATTGAAAAGATTTTTTACTTTTCAATTCTCTACTACAATATCCTTGCCGCATCCACCTCTTCTTTTCCTACATGCACATTTTCCTCGAAGCACTCAGATACTCGGCAAGAATGGGTGGCTGGCCTCCTGACCCTTCTCCCTCCTTTGGGTATTTTGCTAACACTGACTTGTGGGTTTTCCTGCTTAGTAAGCACTGGCCCGTGCAGGAGAGAGGCTGTCGACCAGCCGTCTGGGTCGAGTGCAGGGCTGCGGCTGGGCCAAGCAGCCAAGTCTGTTACACCTGAGAACGCTAGTAATCGAGGACCTGACCGAGTGGCCATCTGCTCTGGGGGGCAGGTCAGTGCTGGATGACGGGCTGTGCTAACCTAAGTCTTTAAAGTGAGATCAGGATATGTGAGCTTCTAAGCGGAATTTCAGGACCCCTTTGTAACGGTATCTAACTAGACCTTAAGTGCAAAGGTACCTTGGAGGTCGTTCTGTCCAAACTTGTCACTTTGCAGAAAAAGACAGTAAGGCTTAGAGCAAAGTGAAGTGACTGGGCTGGGACCCGCAGCTGCTGAGCTGCAAAGTGGGACTCAGAACCCAGGCACCCGGGTCCCCAATCCCGCACTCTTGTTCCTTTCCCGCACAGCCCTGAAACGTGCCTAACCACAGTGACAACCCTGGCTTCACCACACCCACTGTGCAGGTGTCTTGGGTTGATTCTGCCCTGAAAGACAGGCAAACAATCGGGAAGAACAGATCAACCGAAGTGAAGATCTGAACCATCTCTGACAGGGAGGCCTGTGCTAAATCGTCGCTTATCTGGCAAACATATCTGTTGGTAATATGACTCTGAAACTATGTCCCATACTCTCAGTGTGGCCCAGGCCCAGCTGTCCAAAGTCATTTTTTCCCCATGAGTAAACGTTTCCGGTCATGGATAAGGCCATGCTGTGGGCTTCTCCTGCAGAAATCTGGACCAGAGGGACTCCTGCGAGGTGCTCCACAATCTGTGGTGTGGGGGATGACGGAAAAATCCTCCCGAGTCCAAGCTGGCCATGTGAGTTCTGTCCCCAGGCAAAAAGCTCACCACCTTGACACAAATAAAGAAAACACCGTCTTATTACGTTAAAAACGCAGCAGACCTCACCCCGGATTTCAGGGATGCTACACACAATACAGAATCACGGTCTCTTCCATTCACACTGACGGGACTCTCAGGTCCCATGTTTGACTCAAAAAAACACAGAAGAGGGACCAGCAGGTGGTGTAGCAGTTACGCCGCTTGACTCCCACATGGTTAACCAAGGTTCGAGTCCTGGGCCTGGTGGCTTCAAACTCATGCTGGGCGCATGTGCGAGCATGCCCAAAATGCCGGGAGGAGCATGGAGAAGGGACTGCAGTGTGGCCACCCCACCGGGGGAATGATTTCTCGGTTTCTATCTCTCTGTCTCTTCAGTGAGCACATGTGCCCTATAGCAAAAATCTCTCTCAAAAAAATAAACACAGATGGGGGCTGGCAGGTGGCGTGCTGGTTAGGGGCCACGGGCTCACACATGGCTGACCACAGTTCCAAGTCCCAGACCTGGTGGCTTGCTTTCT